CAGGATTCCATTGGACTGGACAAATTGTACATAGAAGTGATAAATGAATTATTCACAGAAATATTTTCGAGTTCTGATGACCTTGCAGATTAAGGCTTGTATGTGGGGATGGGTAAGGAGATGGGGAGAGTGAGATAGAGCAGTTAATTGAATACATATGTGACTGAATTAGACTAGAAGGGAAGTACATAGAGTTTAATGGGAAGATCAAGTCACATGCCCACTTCCCATGTTTGAGGTATCTCACAAAGGAGAATTATATATCCGCTCACTCTTTCCATTTCATTTGTAAAGACTAGTCTGGAAACACCCTACATGGAGAGGTGATTTGGCCTCAGATATTGGAAACTATAAATGTGTCTGCTGGGTCTTTTTAAAGTAACCAATGAATACCAGGCTCTGGATGTGGGAGAAAGTAGGACTCCATCAGGAAGTTGGGGGCTGTTCCACACAAACACACAAAGGATCACTAAATTCGCTCTAAAAATTACATAACGTCTCAAAAATAAATAAGTAAACAAATAGCATTTTTTAAAGAATCAGAGAGCAGGAAGGGTTTTCTAAGGAAGTAACATTTTAGATAATTCAAAATAAGTAAGACTTAGCAATTGAATAAAGGGTGAGACTTACTATGTAAGATGTGGAGCTGCCCCAAAAGTAAGTTCCTTTCTTTTTTAAAGAGATAAACCATTGGTTACAAAGAAGCAGGCTATGAATCAGGCTTTCTATGAAAAGCAACCCCTTGCAAAATGTCGAATTCTCTGGATACATTCACTTTGGTGACTGTGAGATGAAACACATTTTTCAAACTTTGCTTTTCCCCCATCTGAAGTTTAGAAAAAGATTCTCTCTCAGTCACAGATGCCTTTGAAGCCATCCTACAAAGCCCAGACAGAGCTCCCTGTATGAGTTTCCAGGAAATTAAAGTGATTTTTCCAGCATGGTGACAACACTATGCTTGAAGAAAACAATACCATTCAAAGCTAACAGAATGAACTCTGTGGCCCTTCAAGAAACCCAGTTGGGAAAGCCCATTGAACCCACCTAATATTTGACCCCAGGTCGCTGATTCTCTGATTTATTTTTCTAACCAAAAAGTGTCCTAACAATCTCAGTAGTAAATTTGTCTGGCCTGGGTCTCACAAGGCTGGCATAAAATGTACGTTTTGTTTGTTTGCTTGTTTGTTTATCTATATGTTTTTGTCTCCTCTTCTGTCTGAAAACCATAAGTAATTAAAATCAAGTCACATCCCCCCCTCCTCTTATATTTTGGTGGTATGAAAGCTTTGAAAATGGGTAAGCAAGAGGCTCGTAGACAGTAGTTTCTAGGTCAGAAAACTCACTCAGTATTCTTATTCCTTTGTTCAAACTTTACGACCCTCCTCTGAATCATTACACCAATCAGTAAATACTAATCCTCTCATATTAGTACTTGGACAAAATATTATGGACAATAAAGAGACAAGATAGTAAAATTGTGTGACCTAATATTTATTATTTTAGCGACACATACCAAAAGAACATATAATCCTGAAAAAGGAGATGATAACAAAGGTACTCAAGGGATACCTAGCAACAGAATCAGGAGCATCCCACATCACAACCAAGAGCAGGGAGGGAAATCCCAAAATAGAGAGGAAGAGTTTCTAAGCGGGTCACTTAAAGGGAATTAAAAGAAAAAAATCCTTCCTCCCAAATGTACACTAGAAAAGGATGACCTTTGAATTACCTGGATTTATGTTTCTTTGGTTATTTTACATGTTCCTTCCCCAATTCTCTGTCTGAAATATGATCTTCATCAATGCTAATAACTTTTTGGGAGTGTTTCATTATTCATTTGTCATTGTTACGATGTCGGGACTGAAAAAGAACGATTCTTTTGTGTATAATATATTCAGAATGGAAAGACTATTAGCAAATACAAAAATTGTCTTATACGCTTTGTATGCCAGGATACTGTATATACCAAAAGCTTATTAATATGGTATTATAAATTTTATGGCTATCTCATCAAGAGGCAGAATTTATTTCCTCACTCATTAAATCTGGGCTGGATTGCTTTTGTTAACACACTGTGGAGGAAATATGGAGTGCTAGTTCCCAGTCCATGCCTCACTCTTTTGGAGGCATTTCTCATTTCATGAGAAATATTGCATGTTCCCACTCACTCTTTTGGATCCCCACCACCATCATGAGGACAAGCTCAAGGTCATTTGCTTGAGGACAAGAGGACCATAGCCTCATCATTCCCGCTGCCCTAGTTAACAGCTAGCCAAATAAAGGATCTGTGAAAAAGATCATTCTACACCAGCTAGCCTACAAGTTGATTTAAATACATGAAAAAGCCCAGGCAAGATCAGTACAATTGCCTACCTGACCCATAGACTCACTGAAAATATTAAACCCTGTTATTTTAAGAGTTTGGTGTTTATTTCTTCTACTGCAAGAGGTAACCGATATAGAAATGGGTACAGAGAACTGGAATGTTTTTGACTTAAACTATGAGACTCTGGTTTGAGAGCAAAGCAATGAACAGATAATGGAAACTTGGTAAGCAAATATTTAGTGGAGGCTAGAAAATGGTGAAAGATTGCCACCGGAGGCTGAAAAAACAGAGCGCAATTATAAAATAAGAAAACAATTGGCAAGACTATACCAACAGATATGTTCCTAATAAATTGTTGGACTTTGACAAAATGCTTTCCAGACAAAATGCTGTGTCAGTGGGCTTCTTTTAGCTCTACGTGATGGAGTAATACAGGAACAGTTTGAGTTAGAACAGGGGTCCCCAAACTTCTTCTTTGGTGCCAGATAGTAACTTTGGCTTTGTGACTGAACAGTGTCTGTCTCAACTCTGCTATTGTCATGCAAAAAACGGCCAGAGCCAATATGTAAATGAATGAATGTAGCTGTGTTTCAAAAAATGTATTTATGGATGCAGAAATGTGAATATGTCATTTGCACGTATCACAAAATATTATCCTCTTTTTCTTTTTTTTTTAAATAAAAATAAGTAAAAATAGTCTTAGCACACAGTCCATACAAAAGTAGGATGTGGGCTGGATTTGGCCTCTAGGTCTTAGTTTGCTAACCTCTGAGGTAGAGAAAGAACTGGTCAGTTTTCAAGAAATCTGAGGGATATAAAAAAAGAAAGAAAAAAAAAAAAGAAAACAAAATTGTTTCTCATCTTCTGTCTTCCCAACCAGTAAGAGTCCCAACATAAAACAAGTTCTGAGGATAAGATCAAATCAAGTTTATTATTATAAGACCTTTTATTGAGGCCTAAGGATTGAGGATACGCTTTCAGGTAGATAAAAGGGTTTCTTTTTGTTTGTTTGTTTGTTTGTTTGTTTGTTTTTTATCTTGAGAAAGAGAGCACGAGTAGGGGAGGGGCAGAGAAAGAGGGAGAGAGAGAATCTCAAGCAGGCTCCATGTTGACAGGCCAATGCAAGGCTTGATCCCATGAATCATGACCCATGCAGAAACCAGGAATCAGGTACAACCATTTGAGCCATGCAGGTGCCCCTAGATAAAAGGGTTTCTAAGAAACTTAAGGGTCTTATCCAGTAACCTTCTCACACGGCCAAAGCAACTGTGAGTGAATTTACAAAGAGATAAGTATCTCCTGAATAATTGTGTATTTGGCCATTAGAATGGACTTGAGTCAGATGCAGAGGAAACTTACAAGTTTTTAAATTGTACTTGCAAAAGAGCTTGATTCTCTTGAATCCTGCTCAGCTAGCAGATGAACAAGCCTAACCCAGCAGGGAGAGGAACAAGGTCAGCATCCAGCAAAGTATTAGAAGCAGAGATGCAGAGGAGATTCACAGAAACTCACAAATGAGGAGGGAGCTGAGCCTAGACTGAACAACCTGCTGACTGGTTGTCTCAATACGAGCAATAATACATACTTACCTCTTAGGCCACTACACTGTGGGATGATTTATTGTACAGTAATGGGTAGCTGATACAGACTGCCCATTATTCATTTGTGTATGTCAGCATTTTGGTTGTGGGGGGGAGCTTAAGTTGGAAAAGCAAACTGTATCAAAACATTTCCTATGGTGTAATATATTTAAAATTGAAGAATAATAATGAATACAAATCAAATTTGTATGTGCTGTATATAATAATTATTTTTAGTTTCTTAAAATGAAGGAATAGCTTTGTCTTCACTATTTGTAAACAGTATACTTGACTAGGTTTTTTTTTAAAGTCTAGTCCAATGGAATCAGTAAGGTTCATCAGGGAAATTAGACCAAGTGCATAGTATATAGTTTCAGGTCGTGAAACTTGAATCCTTATTTGAGAAAAATAATTTATATATTTATTTTCATTATTGTATTACAGTTCTCTGAGTGCTTTTGGATGTTAATGCCTGTATGGTTTGCTTATTTATTTTCAATCTAAAATATAGAGGCAAAAAAAAAAAAAAGAAAAAAGGAAAAAGAAAGAAAGATACCAAATGTAACCATTTTGATGTGTAAAAGTAAGTAAGCCATCCATTGAAAGAAAATTCCTTTCTCTGAGGAGGGTAAACTTAATGTTCAGTCTGTATGATTTCAGCAGCTCTGGAGGATATGGCTCACAGTCTTCACACACATTGTAAAAAGCAACATTTTCAGACGCTATAAATTTTGTAGTTTAATGTGTGAAAAGAAAATCAGGATTGACTCAACAGTAGGTCAATTAAACAATCCCTAATTGAACTTGAGTCCTTTTTTAGGCTTATTTTCATTGCTTATAGGAGAGAAAGAGGGAAGCTTATATTCCATTTGCTCATAAAATATCCAACTCAAGAATATCATTGTCTATACCTGGGGGTCCTTTAAAATCACTGTCAACATCAAGAAGAGGGAGTGGAACTTTCTTAGATATTTGGTTAGCCTGTGGGTTTCTGTAATATTTAAACTGTTCTCTAAAATAAGCAGAACCAATGAAAATGAAAAGGAATTTGTTTAAATGATCAAACTGGAAAAAGTGACCAGAAAACCCCTCTGGTCATTTTCTTTTTTTATTCTATGTTCTTCTAACCATCTTTTATAGGTCATTTGAGAGACGAAAGAAAGGATGTTAAGGCCCTGGAGATATTGTAGCTACATTAGCAAAATACCAGAACACATGTAAAAGGCTTGTAAAGGACTTGGCACCACAAATCTGACATATAAACTGTGTTACAATTGTCTTCATTTCCTCTTGTCTGTGACTCATTCTTGGTTTCTCGTTCTGATGATAGAAATGATGACCTGAAGGAAAATTAGAAAACATTTTTACATGGAAATTTTCTACACTTCAAAATAATTGTATTGGCTGAAATTTAAAAATGAGAACATAAGCACACCGTATCTTCACTGGCATTACTAAATATAGTGTTTTATTATGGCCCAAATCACCTCATACCTTGGTTGTGGTTTTACACAGTACTATGTAATCTTTCCTGCAATATGAAGACTAACAAGAACTAAAGGTTAAAATATATTATTGTCAGGGAATATCCGGCTTTGTAATTGTAAGGAAAGTGGAAGTATTGACTGAATTACTGAGTGTTAATGGCTACTAGAAAATGTATTGCTTGATTGATGTTCTAATGTGGATAAGATTAAAACTGATTATTATGAATGCGAAGTATATTCTGGTAGACCCAGTGTTTACCACCATTAGAAAACTGTATTGAAAAAAATATATAAGCCATGTAAAATTGTGAGGAATGATTAAAAGGGAAAATAGAAACTATAATTGATTCCAAAATATTCTAAAAAATTACAAAGAGAATGTAAGAAACTAAGAGAATAATCAGGAAAACAACTGAAGTATGAATTTTGTTTTTGCAAAATGGAAACATAATAAAAAATCATACCCACATTGAGCACTATATCATGGATGATTAACTCTGTTACACTCAAAAGTACTCCATGGTCTACTTTCCCCCAGTGCTACTTAGGTATTTGAGTATCAATCAAGTCAGTTCTAGAATATTGAGTAGATCAGTTTCTATACATTTATAGTTTACTGTTATTATTTTGCTGTGTGTGAAAAATAAGAAATAATTTGTTAGAGACAGTTTTACAACTAGTGGAGGATTATACTGTGAGCAAAGTGACTGTAGAATTTAATATATTTTATGCATCACAAAATAATCCAAGTTGTATTTTTCCACAATTATTCTTATGAAATTACTTTTTAATGTCCTTTCAAATCTCTCAAATTCCTATGTGTTTATTTACTTTTTGTAAATAAAAAAGTACCACTCAGGGAAGACACACCAGCCGAAAATGGCTCATACTGTTGCTAGTTTCTAAATATATATATTTATATTAATATATTTGTATAAATTTATAGTACAAATATAGAGATATTCAGATATTTAGGTATATATTTAGGTATTTATAGACATCATCTGAAGTAGTCATAAAAAAAGAGTAATAAAATAGGGCGCCTGGGTGGCTCAGTCAGTTAAGCTTCCGACTTCGGCTCAGGTCTTGATCTCATGGTTCATGATTTCCAGCCCTGCATCGGGCTCTGTGCTGACAGCTCAGAGCCTGGAGCCTGCTTCAGATTTTGGGTCTTTCTCTCTCTCTGCCCCTCCCCTGCTCGCACTCTGTCTCTCTCTCAAAAATAAATAAACATTAAAAAAAGTAAAAAAAAATTTTTTTGATATAGATATAGTAATTATTGTGTTAAATATTGCAAAGAAGTCTTTTACCAGTCATTTTATTTTAATTTTTTTATTTTATTCTTTTTAAAGTCTATTTATTTCTTTTTGAGAGAGAGAGTGAGTGGGGAAGGGTACAGAGAGAGAGGGAATCTCAAGGCTCTGTGCCCACCCGGCCTTGAGTAAGTGCCTCTTACCAATATTTTATTTTATTGTATTGTATTGTATTGTATTGTATTGTATTGTATTGTATTGTATTTATTTTATATTTTTTAAAGTTTATTTATTTATTTTGAAAGAAAGAGAAGGGATGAGTCAGGGAGGAGCAGAGACAGAGGGAAAGAGAGAGAATCCCAAGCAGGCTCTGAGCTGTTAGCACAGAGCCCCATGGCCTCAAACCCATGAACCCACAAACTGCAGTGATCATTACCTGAGCCAAAGTCAGATGTTTAAGAGACTGAGCCACCCAGGCACCCCTTTGCCAGTCATTTTAAAAGAAATGTAGTAAAAAGGTGGTGGAGTACACAAATGTAAGTGGCTATTTGTGGTGTGGGATAAAATTTGTAATTCAACAAGCACATGTTTCAAAATTGTCATATTCCAAGCATTTTAGAAGTAAATGAAGACAAGGTACACTTAAAAAATGTGTTGTATATTCCAAAAAGACACTCTAGAGATGACAATGGCTTATAACAAAGATAGAGGTCAAAATTTGCATAGGTGAATTCACACAATGCAAGAATAGGGAAAAATGTCATTTTGTGATTTATTTTCTTTTAATTTTTTTTTCAACGTTTATTTATTTTTGGGACAAGGAGAGACAGAGCATGAACAGGGGAGGGGCAGAGAGAGAGGGAGACACAGAATCGGAAACAGGCTCCAGGCTCTGAGCCATCAGCCCAGAGCCTGACGCGGGGCTCGAACTCACAGATCGCGAGATCGCGACCTGGCTGAAGTCGGACGCTTAACCGACTGCGCCACCCAGGCGCCCCTCATTTTGTGATTTAATGCATTATTTTATACAAGACATAATAAAATTTTGTAAAATAAATCAGTAAATTTCAAATTTTCTTCTTAGTTCTTCTTTTTGGGGAAATGAATAATTGTTGTAGCTTGATTTTGGAATAAACAGTATTGTTAAAATGCTTTAGTGATTATGGCCACAATATTGTAAAGTAGAATGTGGTGGGAATTAAATTTAGAGAATAGTGTTGAAATGAAAAATGACTTTGATATTCCAGGAAGTAGACAGACATTATGGAAAATGCAACTTTTTTTAGTTAAGAAAAGCGATTTCCAGAAATAAAAATGAGGGAAAGTTGGACTCATTTAAGTATAGTGTAAAAATGATCTTAGGGACAAAAGGTTAGCAAAACTACTATGAGTCATTGTGATGTTTTTATCATGAAAAATAGAATTTAAAGGCTTGGCATTTAGTTTTGCATTATCCCCCTAAGTAAATGTTGCTTTTTAGTTTTTGGTAATCACTTGGAAAATCTGGTAAGAGTTAAGATCCTCTTACCTAAAATATTTACATAAACACATCATTTAACTAATAAATTCTGGGAGGCTATAGGCCCAAGATAAGAACTTCTGCTTTTTGCCTTCAAGTAATTAACGTCCACTGGAGAGCAAGGTAACTTCTCTCACAACCAGGCATATTAATTTCACCTTGCCACTGAAGTCTGAAAAGCAAGGATGCTAGTACAGACTTTTCTAGACAGACAAACAAAAAATTCCCTTTAATTAGACAATTAATATGAATACTAATTACATTCTTGAATAGGGTTTTGGAAAATAAAATATTTAAGACAGATTTTCAAAAACTTAAACACTGGAATAAATTCAACCTTAAGATTACCAATTCTTTCCCTCTTTTTTTTTAAATCTATTTCTTTAAGCATTACTTTCTGGTGCCCTTTCATTGGTTTTACAATGTTACTGTCTTCTTTTTGGCCAAACTAAAGCCTTGGGGAGCAGGAACTGTGTATTAACTGTTGTAACGCCAGCAACTACAGCAACTAAACAGGGCGTCTAATAAGTGTTTGTTACTTTCAAACACATGCGTGGTTGCAAACAAACCGCAGCCTTTGCAGCAACTCTGACACCAGGATGGAGGCTTGTCGCCGTGGCTTTCAAAGCCTTTCCTTCATGTGCACTGAGAGTCTAAGGCTACAAAGGACAGCCATCTTCTTCCATATTGCTGCTTATTCTGGGGATTGGCTCCCATTAGTTAGTCACAAAAGACATGTGCTTCTTGGTCCTATCTGGAATAACCTTCCAGAGTCCACCTTAAAATCTCCCTATGGTTTCCTGAGCCTCTTATCATCCATAGACCAAGCTTAAATCAGTATCAAGTGCACTTTTAATTGTCTTTGATAAGCTGAGTTGTACTTCTGCTGAAGGAATTCTTAGAGCAAACAGTTCTGTCACTTTATGTATTATTGAAAACATATCTTAAAATAATGTACATACGTAGAATAAACTCTGTGCAGTTAGCAAACAGTAACGTGATCTGAAAAGAATGTGACCACCACTATCTCATTGAATCTGCTTAATAACCCTTTTAAATAACATAGGTTAAGTAACTTGCTTAAAAATCACACATGTAACTAAAGGAAGAGGGGCTCCCTGAGCCATGTCTATTTTACTGGAAAGTCCCTAATTTCAATTGCTATGATATATGCCCTTAGGATAAAAAAGATAACAAGGAGAATCAGGAAAAAACCTTTTACTCTTAGTAAGAATTTCATTCAAATAAGGCTCTGCTTCAGATTCTAAAATTTGCACAAGATGAAAATACTTTTGAGAAAGCCACCAATGAGAGCACCAAAAAGTACTAAAGCATTTGGAAACATGCTTGTGAAGGCAGGTGTGTGAAGGGCTATGCAGAATTTTGATAGCAAAATGCTACTGTTGGTTTTTTTAATGTATTTATTTGAATAAATATATTGACTTTTGTATCCCCAGAATATCTTTCTTTAAAAATTTTTAATGATTGGGGCGCCTGGGTGGCCCAGTGGGTTAAGCATCCAACTCTTGATTTTGTCTCTGGTCATGATCTCCCAGTTTGTGAGTTTAAGCCCTGCACAGGGCTCAGTGCCCACAGTACAGAGCTTGTTTGGGATTCTCTCTTCTCCCTCTCTTTCTGTCCCTCCTCTGCTCATGCGCATGCACAAGCACGCTCTCTCTCTGTCTCTCTGTCTCTCTCTCTGTCAAAATGAATAAGTAAACTTAAAAAAAATAAAAATAAAAATTTTTAATGACCGAGCCTAATCTTCAGTGATTCAACTGATTACAATTAATTTGTAAGGACTCTGGAACTATCAACTGGAGGAGAGACTTTTGAAACTTTTAAAGATAAAAAAAGGAACACAGTAAAATGTTTGGTACTCTTAGGTCTGTACGATTAAAGCGCTGATCTGAAATAATACCCTTAAGTGAGTATTTTGTTCAGCGTCTCCAACATTCTCACATTTTCTCACTTGCACCTCTAGCATGTTTCTTCTTCCATTTCACCCACCAGCCAACATTGCCCAACAACTCTTCTCAGACACCTCAACCCTTGGCAACCGTTCCATTCGCCATCAAACA